AAAAATAGTCCCAGAGAGGGATATATACAAACATATATATAACCCCCATGAAGAAATCCAGCTGACAAGCCAGAGAAAGAGATAGCGCCAAAGAAAGAGCGGGTTCGTGGGAGTTTCTCCCCCATCTGTTTGTTTGTTTTTGGTCTTCTTTTTTGTAGTTATATCGAGTGAACGAAAAACAAAAACTTTTTTCCACTTGAGTAACTTAAGTGCCAATTCCATCAAAAAAAAAAAGAAGAAAGACCCGAAAAGACAGCAATGAAAACCAAAGCCAGCTAAAGTTAAATGAAAGAAGCGCAAGAACAATATTCGGCAATTGTGGGGACGCGGAATGGGACTGAACTTGGCGTCCAAGGGTGTGCATTAAATTGATGTGAGAATCGATTGAAAGCCAAATGAAAGACTTCCAATAAAACTCATTGGAATAATTTAAGTTATAGGTTAATAAAATCAGGATAAAATTGTCAAACAAAAAATAATTTAACAAGTAATGGAACGTAAGCAAAAAAAAAAGTGCATTTAATTTAAACTCTTCATTGACGTGAAATCTATATAAATTGCTTCAAAAGTTAAAAAGGAAGTTTTAAAATTAAATGTTAAGGATTAACTTATGACATTAACTTAAACTGAATAATAGCCTTGAATAAAAAACTCAACAAGTACATATGTAAAAACCAATTTGCATTTTATGTTCAACTTCGTTGCAATTTATTGAGAAATAAGAATTCATTTGTAATTTGAAGAACATTGAGTTATAAGTATAAAACAAGCATGTACTTAATGATAACCCTGAATTCACGATCAAAATTTAATGTCTTTTAGAAAAAATGATATTATTCTGTTTTGCCGTCGGCGAGTTAAAGACTAAAATGATTTCTACGATTAAAAATTATATAAAACACGCACGCAAAACGTAAGGATTGATTTAAAAAGGAATTACATAAATAATGAACTCGATGAACTTGAAAGCTTTTATCGACCTTTAATTGTTTTTCAAAGGAAAAGATGAATAATGGCCGCGCAAATCAATTTGCAAAAAATAAACCCAAAAAAGGGAGGAACACACACACAATCACACACAGAGGCACACAAACACACCACAACTACAACTATAGAGAGCAATGATGAAACGGGAAGTCGGCCATGATTTGCCGTCGGCAATTTCCAAAAATCCTCGATTTCAACCATTACGGAGCGGAGTTCAAAGTGAAGAGTGAAGAATTCGAGTGGCGGATGCCAAATGGCGAAAACAGAGAGCCACCGACACTGAAGTTAATCGGCAATAAAGAGAGATGTCCTCTCTTAAAAAAAAGGGGGGTGTCTGCGCTAAGAGAATCCTCTCTTATCCTGTTTTTCTCTTAAGACAGCGCACAGCTGTTGCAGCAGTTTGGCGCCAAAAATATGGCCCCTCTCACTGGAAGAAAAGACCTTCCAGCCAAGAAAAAAAAATAATATATATTTAGTTTTGTCTTCCCCTTTTGCCTTTGCTCTTTTCCTCACTTATTTTTTCCTTATTTTTTATCGAAATTTAATTCCATTGCCAAATCGAACGATACCGATAACTGCCCTCGGCTGACTCGCATATTGATCGAGTGCTTTGATCGGATATTAACATAAATTCTCCGTTGCCGTATTTGTGGCACGCAACATAAAACTTTCGATCATTTAAGGTAAGCGACAAGAATTAGATTTGGCTTTGGTTATTTTTGTCTTTGGCCCATTCGCACGTTTGACCCCCTTCAAGGTAATTGCATTTGGCCAAACAATAGTAACGGGGTTGGGCCAACAGTCGAATTATTTTCGCAACACTGCAAGAAATTCATAGGTTGTAAGTAAGTTTAAGTATTAACAAGACCTACTTGAATTGTGATTTTTATTTTTTATTTTATTTTTCAGAATTAAATTATTAAATTAAGCCTTCTTTTAGTTACTTCAAATTAAAAGTTACTTAAGTGGCATTCAAAAAAGTTTACATTAAAAAATCATATAAAAAAAAATAATTATCCTGGCATTCTAGAACTAAACAATTTTTGAATCGAAGGCAAGAAATAGTTTTTAAATCTTCTAATTTAAAGCCAGAAAAAATCGGAAATTTTAAAACTATCAAAAATAAATACTTGAGACCCAGCACCTGGAGCCAGACTTCCTAATCCTAACCAAAAACCCTTCAAACCATTGGCAATCAAAACCAATCCGTGAAACCACTCAAATCGAGCTCCATAACGAAGACCTTCGCATTCCTACGCATCCGCTCCAGTATCTCAGTTTCTGTTGCTGTTTCTGTCCCCTGTCAGTTGGTTAAGATATCGATATATGTGCATATGTATATAGCCCCAGTCCCATATCGATTTCAAATTGGGAGTCCCAACTCGCACGGCTGGCGAAACAGAAACAGAAAATAATTAAGTTCTCAAAAGATAAAAATCATGTTAGCCGCAGATCAATTAGTTGATTTTTACCATAACCCGGGCATATATCAATTTTTGCTCTCCAGCTCCACAGCCTCTTCTTCTTCTACGACTACGTGTTGTGCCCGAGGTGACGCCCCCACCGCCTCCACCCGCCGCCCACCTCACCTCCCCCTCCCACCAAAAAAAGTGGTCCGCTTAGTGCATAAATTTACATATGAGAATGTCTGGAAATGCTTTTTGAAGGCTGTTGAAATGTTGCTACAGCGGGGGTTCAGTGGGTTAAGGGGGCTAAGTGGCGGGGGAGGGTGTTGGAGGTTTCTCCTTGGATGTAGCACCTGCTTTTTGGCCTGGAGCAAGACACTCGAGTGGCCAAGAAGGAGCCTCGAACGGAGCCTGATACTGGACATGCACATGCTCGGACGTCAGTAACTCATTTATCGCTTAACTGGAGTTGCCCTCCGAACTCCTTTTTAACAGACCCAGCTCTGCACAGAAAAAAAATAATGTCTACTCAAAGAAACGTTTAACCATTTCAAATACCTCCCAATTCATAGTTCCTATTAAACATGAATAAATAGGAGATAACACTTATCAAAACAACCTAAATGCAGAGGTTAATTTAGGGCTTATTTTGAAGAGCAAGGTCACGCTGCTTTTATTTGTAAGCAATGTTCAAACAACAAATAATTTCGTAGAAATAACATTTTAAATGCAATTTTTCGCCGTGTGCTATCAGTTTCTGTTTCCATTTCAATGGTCTTATTTTATTTTATTTTGACAACGAATTTGCATGCGCTGGAAATTGTGTTTTGAGGCTTGTTAATTTTGACTAAAGTCACTGCAGTTACGTGCTGCGTTCGGTTCTGTTTCCAATCCAAATCCCAGATCCCAGCTCCCAGAGTCGCGGCCCATTGCGTGACTGACCCAACCTGAGAGACTTACGCATGCGCGCGCTTACAAACGCCAAACTGAGTTTCACAAAAAAAAGCAACGGCGGCAACGGAAAAATAAACTGGCAAAAACAGCCAACAAAAAAAGACTGGCAAGGAAAAACAAGTAAAATGTGAAACAAGAACCAAAACAAAGTGTTCGATGTTTCCGTTTCAAATTCTGTGGAAGAAGACATTTGCTAAGGCCCCAAAGTCTGTTCCATTGTGGGACCAAAACCAAAACCAAAACCAAAACCCAAGACCAAACTAAACCGAAACCCAGTGAGATGGGACAGTGGGACCTCGGGACGGAGACAATTGGCGCGCAAACAATTGTTCGGTTCGTTCTTTGGTTTTGCTTTGGTCTTTGCTCGTTGGACATTCGAAAAAGTAAGAACAAGTTCGGTATTTTGCTTTAAAGCACTGCTAAACTGGGAAGAACGGCCAGACAGTGGAGTTGGTCTCAACAGTGGGTTGAATTGGAGAAACTAGGATTATAAATTTACTATACTTGAATTCTTTAACTGCCTAACATATAGCCACAACAAAAAGAGTTCAGATGGATTTAAATTAATTTCTGTCTTTTGATTGAAGAACGTATAAATTTATAATAGTTGAGAACTATGGCACCATTATATTTCAAAAATCCAATAATATAAACCTTATATTAAATGAACAGCTAACGGAAATTTCTGTCCACAAAATATCCTCCCACTCCCACTGTACTCATCCCGAAGCTCAGCCAACTGGGCGATTGTGGCGCAGATAAAAGAAAGGCACTTGAGCATTACATCGACGAAGGCAGGAGGCAGCTCTCTGCAGTTCCTCCAAACAGCCAAGAGTTCTTTTTGGGCCGAGTCCACAAAACAGCGAAATGGAAAAAAATCGGCGGAAAAAGTGCAAGGGAATTAACAATTCATTTTATTGTTAAGTATGCGGTCTGGCGGGCCCACAAATGGGGAGTTCGGGGAGTCCCAGCCTCTTTTTTAGACCATCTTGTTAGCCCTGTCTGCAGATTCTCTGCTGCCTGTTTTTCCTCCAGCTGGAGCAGCCTTCCTCATAGTTAATAATGCGATAATTTCATTTTCATTCAAAGCAAATCGAAGGCAGCAACAACAAAGGGGCCAGAAAAGCAACGGCTACCGGATTACGGGCCATAAAAAAGAAATAAACGAAAAAAAGGAGGGAGGTTTTCTTGGCGTGTTGCGGCAACATGTTGCTCAGGTTTTTTCGTTCGTTTTTTCGGGGACGGAGAAAAAACCTGATGCATGCGCAAAATTTAAATTATGTTGTTTTGTCGCATGTTTCGCTCTTCTTCTTTTGGCTGCGCTTTGTCGTTGTTAGTCCTTTTTTGCAGTTCTTAAAGCATTATCAATGAATAAATGAAAATGTCTTTTGTCCAGGGAAAATTGTTGTTGCCGCAGATGTTGGCATGCAACTTGCAGAACGCTTAACATCTTCTTTAAGTCGCTGTTTTGTGTCACAGCCAACTGTCATTTGTACATTGAATTGCGGCCTGTTTCTTGCCTTCGTTCCCCGGCGATATGTTCGATTTGCATAAAATCACAGGAAGCACTTAGGATTAATAGCGAGCGCGCCGAGTGTCGTGGGTTAAACATTTGTGTAACGAAAATTGATTCAATTTAGTGCCTGTGCTTACCTTTTTCGACGAATGCGCAGTTAAATTCTGGTAATCCATGTAAGTAATCCGCGATTCATGTCCATTTACAAGTAGGTAATCCAAAATTGCACTGAAAAAGAGACAAAAAGCCATTGAAATTGTTGTTTAAATTGATTCCCAGGAAAATTAACGCCTTGTTTCTTTTAAGTGGCGCCCTACGTTGGCGGGAGGCTGAAGCACTCATGTAAAATTCCGTGAAATAAATGAATGGTTTGATTTTACTGCGAAATTTTAACTAAAACTTAATTTAAAACTTACAAAAACGTTAATTTACAAAAAGTAAAAATGTTATACAAAATTGTTATATTGTTTAGTTTTAAGCTCAGTAAAATAGATTTGGAAAATTAAAGTTATTTTTCTTGATTATAAATATACTTCAAATTTATGACACATATGTACTCTTGCTATTTATTAAATATTATATTATTAATTTTGTTTGAAATCTACGCTATTAAATCACTCATTTTAATTTTTTTTCTCAACGAAATTGTTGGAAATGGTATTGGCATTCGTGTCGTATAAGTAATTTCATTGCAATATTGACAAGAAATATATTTTGCTGGATACTTTAAAGTCTTTATTACTACAAAAATGTTTTCTTTTTTTTAATCAATCAAAAAAATTCGACTACATTTTAAATATATGTCTATCCCACAGCAATTATTTCGAGTAACAGCTAAAAGACAAAAGATTCTTACGTTCCATTGCCAACTTTTGACATTTTCCCACCTTTTAATGTCACCGAGTCGGCTCGCATACGGAACCCAGAAAAAAGGAACGATCGGCAGCAAAAAGATCACTAACAGCCAAAGTACCAAAGTACCAAGAACAACAAGGAAGCTGGCCATGGCCAAAAGAGCCAAAGACCAAGTGGCAGACTGTCAGCTTCAGTTTCAGTTAAAGTTTACGTTTGGCTTCCAGGCTCTGAGATTCAGGCTCGACTTCGAAGCTGCTGTCATATCCTTTTGCGGTAAACGACTGTGAAAAAGGAGGAGGAAGAGGGGGAGCAGCGGATATTTGAGCCCGCTTCTCATTCATTTGCGCCAAATGTCATTATTGTTGCTCGTTTGTTGTTGTCCCCTTTGTGGCCGCTGCTGCCTCTTTTTGTGGCATCTTCGGGTCTTTTGTAAAACTCCCTCGTTAAACAGATTATTTTCACACCCGACTTGGGTGCTTGGCTGCTGCCAATTTGGTAAGTGAATTGAATGGAATGGCCCAGAGTCTGCAGTTCACTCCTTGCAGGCGTTAATAATGCGATTTCAATGCAGTTGATTCCACTGGGAATAAAAGTTCGTAGATTTGCATGTTAAGTTTAACAATACTTGAATAAATCGCAAAAGAAACTCTGAATTTGGTATTGCAGTTCGCAATAGATTCGACTTTTAATATATTTAAGTAAAATTAAATGTTTCTAATTAAATATTTTACCATATATTTCAAGCCATTATTTTTTGTAGTTCGATTAAAATAAAGTACCTAAAATAATATTATATATTTTTTGATCAGTGTGGACAAAATTCAAAGACCCTCAAAGTGCGAAATGTTTTCCTTTTTATATTTATTTAGGGAGACCTTATGAAAGCGACAGAAGGAGTGACACATGTATGCACCTGGTTTAGAAGGTTGCGGCTCCAACAATGGGCAGGCTTCGATTTGGCTTCGAATCCGCTGATTGTTAATTGCGCGAGATATGAAAAGAATTACCAGAGCTTTGGAGTTCAGTTTTTACTTAGGGAGGCGAGATTCGGGTTTCGATGGTGAAGATTGATGAAGATTGTGTTCCAAATATTGTGGCAAACAAACGCAGAAACAAGTTGAAACTAAAGTTTTATTTGTAAGCGTCCATTCGCTGGAGAAAAAAATTGACAAGTGAAATTCAGTCTGACCAGACATAAGTCAAACTATAGATGAGATTTTAATATACAGAGTCACATTGCGATATTTCGGTATTTTAACAAAGATTAAAAAATGATTATTGCTTGATCTGGATCAAGATGCATGCAAAGGGAACTAGAGTTCGATCTTAGTTTAAAATAAAATTACATTCTTATGTGAATGATTCATACTCCCCCAAGCATTTGAAATCGCTCCTTTAGTAATTTCCCAAATTTCTTTTGAGGAACTCAACGATACTACTCTCAATCAAAATAATCAGCGGTAAAGAAAGTGATCGCTGCTAAATTTCAGAGGGGTTCCCCTTCCAAATCATTTCGCACCCAAGCCTCGAAGTAATTTTGCTGCAAATCGTTTGAAATTATTTTTGCGGACACGCTCTGCCGCACGTAGCACTCGCGAACAAAAAAACGATAAAGAAGCAAATAAACCCTTGGAATTCGAAATCATTTTTTTGGCATTAGAGGGGGGATAGACCACCTAGGCGTAACTGAACCCAAATTCATATGCATAATTTTTGCGCTATTTGCGCCGTTTGTTTTGATCGCGAAAATATTTTGCGCTCGCTGCGTAATTGTTGAAAGTCAGACAAGGCAGGGCCAACGCGCCGAGGGATAAAGATACCGGGGGGCTCGAGGGACCGACACGTGAATGACAGATCAGACAACCAGCTCACGCCCAACATCAGAAAACATCCATAAATATTTTTGTCATTTAGCCCCCGGCAGTGGCACTCGATGCGATTTATGGCCGAGAGTCGTAAAAAACCGTAAAAAGCCTTCCGACGAACCGAGAGCATCGTAAAATTAAACAGCGAAAATAGTTTTTGGCCGGCTAAGTCGCCGTCTGTGATCGAAATATTTAATTAATTGGTCGATCGATCGTTGGATCGATGGATCGCTGGAATTGTTCGTGGGTGGGCCACCCATCCCCAAATCGGAGTGCGTTCGTTTGATTTATGCAGACAACGCGGACACATTTAATGAGCGGCATTTGAATGCGCAGTCGCCGATGCCCAAACCCAAATTCTGCACTTGTCGCTATAAATAAATTCGTGAAAACAGAGATTGCAGTAAGTACACTCAAAAAAAAACAGTCATTAAATGTTGGCGCCAGTCTTTGCCAATAGGAGAGCTATCAAAACAAGCACGGTAAATCAAAAATATTGAAAATTTCCTTTAAGATTGTAATAAATGGATTAGTTTAAAATTTTAAATTGTTTGATAAGTAAAAAGCTTTAATTTTCGCCACATAAATACTCAATTCAGCTCACTGTGTGTAAAAATATTTGACATTTAATGACGAACCAAATGTGTAAGCGCCATCCGACGGCAGGCAGCTGAACTGTTGTGAAAGCTCAGGAAAAAGGATATTTTTCAATGGTTGTGGTCTCGGCTAAAGGATACAATTGTGAGTGCTAAAAGGACGATGTCCCGACTAAAGGATAAAAGGATAAGGCGAATTCGAGCGAGGCGAAGTTTAAAAAATCATTGGTCTGGCAGCACCGGCGTTGTCAGAAGCAATTTGATAGAACTCGTACTGCCAGACTGATTAAATCCTGAGTCATTTTTATTAGAGAGTAAGGCAAAATAATATCCTTAATAAATGGCAAACAAAATTGGCATTTTTTTAAATGTACATATGTAAAGTATAGGATAAAGGACAGGATATAAGATGGGAAAGGATGATGAGAGACGGAAGTTGAGAAAAGTTATAGCGAGCCAATCATAATCGGTGCCTAACTAATCGATTTGCACATAAGTTAACTTTACCTAGTTCATCTAATCCTTCAAACCAAGTCCTAACACCGCTACCTTTGACGTCTATATCATGGATAATTGAATTTTGAATAAGGCCACAAATTATTGCCGATCGAGTAAATATAACATAAAATGTTGTAAATTTTTACTTTATCAACCAATTAAATAAAATATTATAGCAATGCAATCATAAGTGATTACCCAAATAAATCTTCTTGCGTACATTTTTCACCCTCACTCTTTGTCCCACACATTTATCCTGAGCTCAACAAACTTAAGCAATTAAATAATAATAAATAAAAAATGCAAAGAAGCGCAATAAAAATTCACAGCGAACAAGTTGTCTTGAGCATGTCACTTAACCATCATCGTCATGCAAGTCAACAGAGTTCTGGTTAATAAAAAACGAAGAAAAATATTAAAGATGTACAAAGCTTGTAAATAATTTGTAGACAAAAGACGAAGAAAAACAAATTCAGAAGACCCCACACAGCCACTAGATTCAGACTCAGTGACGGCAAGAAACATACAAAATATATAAAAAACAACGGCCCAAAACGTAAGACAATAAAAAGTAAAGTTCCTTTTAATTTTATGACGGAGCCGACACTTAATAAACAATAATCACCATCTCAAGGGGAGATGATCTTGATCTTCAAGTGGAACTTACTCCTCGACTCCATACATATATAAATTTTTCATATATATTGCTTTTTTCCGGCAAAAATAACCAGTAAATCCCAGGCGTTTTTCCCCATATTTTTTGCTGTCGTTGTGGCAACGAGATTTGCATTTTGATGAATTGCAGGCGAAAGATGGAGAACTGAGTTTGAAGTAACCTGTAAGTCATTTTCGTGACACTATCTGAAATGCCGGTGGGGAGATTGAGGGACAAAGTGCTGGGGCAACTCATGTACTATTTTTTTTTTTGCGCTTCTGGTCTCTTGTGTGACTTGAAATTTAAATTAACCTTTTGGTTTTCGGTCTTTTTTGCCTCTTCAGCTGGGGTAATTATTTTTTCATTTTGCGAAAAAAGACCGAGTTAGCTTTGGTTGGATGTGAGTTATTGTGCAAATTAAAATGAACGATGTGTCGGTAAGGTCGCCTTTTGTTGTCGTAGCGCCAACGATAATGTTCCCCCTGCAGACCCTGAACCTGAGCCCCAAGTACTATGTTTCTGGCATTTTTTCTATATTTTTTTGTCGTGTTTCTATATCTTGTTTGGTTGTCTAGCGCGTACATGATGTGACTATGATTCGTGTTGTTCGGTCCACGCCATGAATTTGCCCTGTCCATTGCGGTCGAGGCGATAAGAATCTCTCCCGAGTTCCCAGTTCAGAGCGGTCCAGATGAAAAGCTTGCGCCAGCGAAATATTGACTAAATGTCGACGGAGAAGGAGAAGGAGGAACGTCCAAC